CTGTGATCCCCACCATGGAAATAAGTAAGGTCAGCTCTGCTCTGAAAATAGAGCCTTGTGAGAGGTGGATTTCTGAAAGGTGGTGTGCCAGAAGCCTGGTGGTTTGAGTAGGGATATTCATTATAACCTTGGTGATTTTTAGAGCGTGTTCAGCAAAGTCTACAGAAGTGTGAAAAGAGATAAAGTTGTCAAGGGGGTTTGTGAGTTGTGACTTAATAATTCCTTTTTTGCAATGCAGACTGTGAGTCCCTGCTGCACTGGAAGTCACTCTTGGCTCTGCCCTGCTGTCAGATGCCTCTTCCTCTCCTCATGCTCCTTCCCAGGCTTGCTCGCTGCTGGCCGTGCCAGGAGCAGTGCCTTGGATGAGAAGAGTGAGATTTGTTTCTCTAGGCTGCCTGTGAGTCCAAGTTGCCCAGGATCCATCACTGTCTTCATCTCCTTAGAGGGTTGCTATTGTTCTTAACAGGAAGCTGCTGTTGTTGAAGATGTTTTCCAGTGGGGTCTGACACCTCAGCAGACAGTTTGTGCCCTGGGCTCACTGGGTGAGGATGGCTGAGCAGCAACCCTCCCTGTGCAGCAGGAATTCTTTGGAATTGTTTATAAATAGGAGGACAAATTGACATGTTCCCATTTTCTTTTCCCACCTCCTACAGTTCTTGGGAATGAGGAAGGATGCCAATAAGAAATGTTGATGTTGGCATTTGGCATTTCAGTCAAAAGCAAAGGAGGATGAAGTGGAATGTTGTTTTTTTTTTTTTTTTTTTTTTTGGTGGGCAGAGAAGTGTTGCTGCAGAGGTAGTGCCAGGCTGCTGCCAGGATTTGTTCAGTTGTCAAATTCAGGGGGAAAACAGTTGACAGTTTTTGTCTCTGAGATTCCTAAAGAGACTGAGCCAGGAAAGGAGATCCAGCAGGTTCTTGACTGAAATTCTTGCAAAATGACCTCGTTTATGCTCACTGCATCCTCTAGCATTAAAAGCCTTTAAATGCTACTTCAAAAATTCATGAGTTCAAGTGCTTTAATGGAAGCAAAGGAGAGACTTTTCTCTGTTTTGTCCTGAAAGAGCTCATGGAGAATTCAAAGGGAACTTCTAGTGTGTAGTTGTGCTGCGCCCACCCATAGAAGAGCTCTTCTCCTTGAGTTAACCTGAAGCTTTAATGTTTATTGAAATCACTGTGGGATGTGTACTTTAATGTGAGACTTAAAAATGGCCAGCCTGTAAACCAAGGCACTAATACATCAAAGGTGAACTTAACTTAGAATTATGCACACTATGAATAGGATTTTCTAGTCTTTTCCTGCCAAAATTGTTCGATATTTTTCTATGATTTTCATTAAGGCAGAGCTAAGACCGTGCAGAAAGATTTAAAAATCTCAGTCTATAAAGACTTTTATTAATTTGAGGAACATTGCCATCACTATGGTTTTTGTATCTGTTTTGTTAAATTGTAGTTCACCCCTTGAAAAATGTGTTACTCTTCTACCTCCAAGATTAAATTCACAGCCTACTTGCAGTGTGGAAATGCTGACAGTTGCATTTGGAAGCTTCACTTGTGAGGTGTTTTCACTTAGCCGAATATGAATTCAGCTTAGGGTGCTGTGGAAGGCAGTGCACTTGGTGCTCTATGCAAAGTGGAACATCACCACTCACCCATTTAGGCGGCTGGCAGGGATCTGTGCATCATTGTTCCTGTGATCAGTTTGTCCTTAATGTTTCAGAGTCAGTCTATGGGAAGTGAAGAATGAGAGATTCTAAATACGAATTCCTGGAGCTGTGTGAGTATGAAGAGAGCTTTTAAGTAGGAGCCTTGAGTATTGAAAAAGTCATAATCTGAGGTAAGATGGGGGATACATTCATGCTTTTAGACCATGTTAATCCTGTAATCAGCCCCTTAAATTTTCATTTTTGTTTTTAGTACATTCTAGCTTTCTCTTTGTCTCCGGAGTTAAATTTGACACTTTGTAATGCAGACCTTTCTAGAACTTTTTCATCTGGCTTCTTTTAAGAGTAGCACAAAGAATTTTCAAGAGAATTATTTCCTTTAGGTTTTGATCTTCATTAGTTTATGTCCTCAGAGATATAAAAGCTGACTAAGTGTAATTAATGCAAAAGAAAAGAAAGTCAGAATACATGCAACAGAAACAGGCTGCCAGGAGTAGCATTTTGGTTTTGAACAAGTTCACAAACGCCATCACTAACCACACTACACCTTTTCCTCCTCTGCCTCCATGTAGCATTTACTTGGAAATTGTACTGCCCTGTAGCTCAGAGCAGTTGGAGATGAGTCTGGATTTTGTGGCAGCTTTAGGGTTCAAAAACCTCTGGAGTTGTTTCTGTCCATGCTGGTCAGGAGGTGTCTAAAGCTACAGCCTGAAGGTAATTTTGGGTCATTAACAGGGATTCTTCTGAGAGCCTCGCTGTGGTGCTATCTCTGGAGTGGGAAGGGAGTCCAGCAGTGTGTGCCTGGGAAAATTGTCATGCAATTCTGAAATTCTGCTTCTGGGAAGTGTTTGGTTTAAGGGGTGGTGTCAACACTTGATGACAAATGAAATCTTCATTTGCTTTATCTGTCAAAAGAATGCACTGACTGCTCATCTGGAAGAAGGAATATTTAATTGCAGTCTCCTGGAACTTCTAAGCAACAGCATCATGGGTTGGGTTTTTCTAGGCATTCTCTTTTTCTCCTGAACCTATAAGTAGTTTAGATATACTGAATGTTAGATAAAGGCAAGATAAATGTATTTCAACAAATATTTTTAAAAACCTCATACTTCATGCTTGTACTGATGGAATAGCTGATCTTTAATCATCAAAGTTAGGTCAGTTTAAGTAAAAAAGGCAGTGGAATTTTATTCTGAAATGACCCCCTTAAATCCCGAAGAGTAGCACTATGATGTAGGTTTCTAATGCTGGCTGATGAAATTATCACTGGTTATAGGCAAAACTGAGGATTTTTTTTTTAATCTGCTAGCATAGAAATGTCAAAGCAGGTTCTCCAAGCAAAACACTATTTTCATACCCAAAAGCACTCCATTTTTTTTGAGAACCAACTAGCTATTATTGTGCTCTCTGTTGATAATATCTGTCTGAAGTCAGGAAGTGTTCTGCCAATTGATGGGGGCGATTTAAAGGACAGACACCAGTGGAAAGAATAGTCTTATTTTACTGTGAATTTTAAAGGAACACAAAAGTAAAATGATACATCCAGTAAAACTGCAGGCTTGGCTTTAGCAACAAGCAAAAGTGAGAAAGGTAATGCTCCTAATCATTACTATACAAGAGAAAGGATAGTGATTGAGAGAGATACATCAGCAATTGCCTAAATACTGCACCATCATCCAGAGCCTGCAGTCCTGGGGAGCCCTGTTTCACAGCAAGGACCTGGAGAACCCTTCCTGGCAACTGAGAAAATCCTACACAGTGCTTCCACACACAGGTGAGGTCTGAAATTCACCCCAAAAGTGGGTCCAGCGTTTATAGGCACAAAGCAGCAAGTCAGAGTGGCTTGGTTGTATTTTATCACAGAAACTCCTGGATATGATGGTACACTTCCCAACCAGGAGGGACCAGGGCTTGGCCAGAGCCCTCACCTTGGCTGGGAGGGTTTCCCATAAAATACCCTACAACCAAGTCTCTGTTTATGTCAGCTGGGAAAGATTTTTAAAATGCTAGATTTCTTGCAGGTAACTGCACAAGGTTATGTGGAAGTTTCTAAAGCAGTCGGTTTGGTGTTAAACAGATGGCATCAGCGTCTCAGTCGTGTATTTTTAGCTAAATAATATTGATGGTGTCAGCCACATATTGCCCAGGGTCCATCTTGTAAGTCAGATCTGACTGAGCCTGCTGATGCCTCAGCGCATCAGTGGGACCTCCCATCCCATCAGAGCAGTTTTCAAACGCTCAGCTAACACCTCTGAGTTCGCCTAAAATAAGGGATAACAGAACGAAGCTGATGCTCCTGAAGCAGACAAGGGGGGAGTATAAGGGGATTGTTTCGTTCTCTCTAGTGCAGCAAAGGTTAAATTTAAAATACATATTTTTAAACACATGCAGTCACATCCTTGCAAAGTGAGTATGAAATGTCACAAAACAAAAGCAAGAGTGATTTATACCCAGGATGAACTAAGCCAAAAAGGACATATATATATTTGTAGTTAAATTTAGAAGTGTGTTAGAGTTGGTACTAAATACTATGCAAAGTGTAAGGCATGAAGAACTGTACTGAGAATGTGGATGCATGTGAATCCCACCGTGTATCTGTGTGTATGGTGTATGTATGTATGTGCATGTATATGTATATATATATATTTGTGTGTGTATTTATGTATATATATATATATATATACATGTATATTATTTTCCTAATAGTGTTCTATATTTATTGGCAAGTTATTTGCAAAAATATCTTTAAATTATGGAGGTGTTTATGTTGGGGTTAGAAGTCATATAATTCTTAATTCTGTGCCTCACCTATTTATCTACTCTGGGATTGTTAACTGTGTTAATAGTCACCCCAGATGGACACTTCAAGACCAGCCCAGGGCAAGCAGTGATACTGTACCCATCATTTGAAGCCCTAAAATAGAATTCCCAGTATTTCTAAATGATGCATTTAAGACTTTCTTGGGCCTTTCAGGACATCTGCCCTCTGAAGCTGATTGCAGTAGATCATGCAGCATATTTCAGACCTTTTTCTGTAATCTCCTTAATGTTGGGACACAGAACTGCTTGCACTGTCTGTGCCCATGGAAGCTTTCTTACCTTCTTTAGAGGTAAGTGTAGCTTTTAATGTCGGTGCCAGTGAATTCCTCTCCGTGAAGAAAATAAAACAGAAAAGGGAGAAGTGCAATAAGAGATATTTGAGTCAGCAGTGAGGTAGAACAGCACTGATTATTGTGCTTGTATTACCTATGTCATCATGGGTTTATTAGTGCACTCTTGAAATACATTGTAGAATAGCAATATTTACAATACTGCTCTTTTTTTCGTCTTTTGTTGCAGAGGTGACTTTTTTTGCAAGGGCCTGACTTTTTTCAACCAGTTTGTATTACCTGTCAAGAATTTTCATGTTGACTCTTGGAAACCTGCTGCAGAGTCTTCCCTGTTTACTATTCAGTGCTGTTTTCATCTTCCTTTAGCAGGTAAGCCCATGTTTCTTCAATACTAATTCCAACTGGGAAATGTTTCCAAATTCAGACACCTGGAGAGTTCATTTTGTTGGACTCCATAGGGTTGACATCTCTCCTCCAAAATGTCTGCAACAGGAAAATACCTGAATAATAGTGCAGTACTTTGGAGTCTTCAGCATCAGTGCATGTCATTCTGCACCCATCTAGCTTTAATGCAACTCAAAAAATGCTATGCATGAACTTTCAGTTGGGAATCTATTTAGAGCTGAATCAGGATTGTGAGCGAGCAATATAGAAAATTGTTTGAATTGTTGCTGCCTGAGAGGAGCCTCTAAATAACTTTCATGTCCTTGAGGAAAAAAAGCCCTGAAGAGGAGAGCCAGAGTGGGTGATGGAAAAGCTGGGGTGTCATCCCCCACAGTGCCCTCAAGCTGAATGAGAGCATTCAGCTACTGTTCACCAAGATCACAGTCAGTGTTGCAGAAATAGATTTAGCTGCCCTGGCTGTGCACTAAAGCAACAAGGGATTCTCAAATGACCCATATATGATTGATATATATATAAATATATATATATCAATGTGTGGAAAGAAGGGACACTGAACAGCTGAGCTGTAGCAATGTCTTACACAGCTGCAGCTTTTCTGCAGGGGGGCCTAGCCAAACCCTTAATAATCATTGTTAGAATTGGATTTGTGTTTGAGATTCAAGGTTTTTAGGAAGAAAAAGATTTTTAATGATTTCTTGAAATCACTTTTGTTAAATGCTAGTCATCAAAGGAGAGTGTGCATGGTGGTGTGTAAGTGCATTTATGTGAAAAGAAAGTAAATGTGCTTACTCTTTGATGTTCTGTTTTCCTTTTAACATTATCATCACACATAGGAACTCTTGGTTTTTTTGAAGCAACTTAGAAATTTTCCCAGAAAACAGTTGTCCGTTTCCTCCTGCAAAAGGATTTTCTTTCTGAATGTATACAGATTTATTTACTTTATCACTAAACTGCAGAATCTAACCTTTGCCATGGCTTTGGTTTTTTTCCTTTGTTTTTTTTAAGGAATGAAGTCTTTTCTAAAGGGTGTTTTTTAAGGAATTAGGTCTTCCCTAAAGGGTTGGCTTTTGAAAATTTTTATTTCTATTTCTTTGGTAGTAATGCATGCTTTCTTCCCAATCAGTGTGATGTGGTAATGGTGGGAATTCCTGTTCTGTGGGACTTTATTGCAGTGATAGCTGCACTTTCCTACAGTGTTCCTTGGTTTCATCCCAGGCTGCAGGAGTAAATGGTCCCCTATTAACTGCAGTTTGCCAGAGCCTTGCTTGGGTCTAACCATAGTCACAGTGTTGTGTTGGAAGGGACCTTGAGGGTCATCTTGTTCCAATCTCCCTGCCATGGGCAGGAGCACCTTCCACGAGAGCAGGCTGCTCCATGCCATGTCCAGCCTGGCCTTGAACACTTCCAGGGATGTGTGCAACGCTGGAACCTACAGCAGAATTTATCTTCTGCTGCAAACTGTGCACAGATGTTTCAAACTGAGAGGAAAATGAGCCCATTCATTTTTACTCGTGCTGCACTTCTTGTCCCTTAGGATTTGGAGGCTCCTGTTTAGGTACTGCCATTCTGAATTCCCTGACACGTGAGTTAAGGATGTCAGTAGCAGAGAGGGGATATTGAACAATGGGAACCAAGTCTTGAGGAGTATGGGCATCACTTTTCTTTTCATAACTGATTCATCTGGAAAAGGTTAGGGAAGAATTACTCAGGCAGGAAATCCCTGCTGTCTCTGCCTGCATTATTTCAAGCATACCCCAAAAAAATCTGCTTCTGAACTTTACAATTCTCCCTAAAACAAATACCCACATCTGCTCTTAGCTAAATTAACAGTCCACCAACTAATCTGCTACTAAACATGATTTCTGTCAGCTGCAACTCCAAGTACTCCTAGGAAGATTCAGCCACTGCCAGCAGAACTAAAAGCTGCTTTCATGCTTCACTGGAATATTTTAAACATTCACTGTGTACAACCCGTCTTTGATTTGTTCATTGTTTGACTTTTTATTCTTGGTATTCTAAATAACTCAGAATAAATACAGACATGTGTAAGCCCTCTGTTCTTAGTGCAGCATGTGCAAACTATCCTATTATAAACTGTTTATAGTTTGCCATGTAATCTGTAACCTTATTGTGATGGACAGTCAGATCAGAACTCCCACCATGCAAGGAGACATTATTAAACATTACGCCTTGAGCAACTTACCCTGACAGAGTGTTTGCTGACTGGAAATATCAACATCTTATGAAAAATCACTGCCTTCCCACTGCAAACCCAGTATTTTATAACCACTTGGGGTTTTTTTCTTTGCAAAAAAATATTACTTGGCTGGCAATATAGTAAACTTTAAGCAATGCTTACAGTTTTATTGTATTCAAATTTTATATTCCAGTGTATTTCTATAGTCATAAGTATTACTTGCTCTTCATTGTGGTATGCTGTAATCTAAAGATCTTAGGAGTATGGCTGTACTGTAACAGGGCCATAGAAAACAGGTATTGAAGGCTTCAGGCCCCCATTAGTTTACATCTGCAGACCACAGCCTTTGAAAATGTTTGTACATAGGCAGTATATGTACATATATTATCTTCTGGTTGTGTCCTGTGTTGTTTCGTGGAAGCGTCACAGGTTTCAAACCCAGCACATATAGAAGCCCTGGTATGTCAGGGTCAATCAGAAATGACAAAGTGACACATTTGCTGTCCTCATGAGGAGACAGAAGTCAGTAGGAGAGTGTTGAGATAATGAAGGAGGGTAAGAGGGTTTACTGTGTCATAGAGGAACGCTCATTATTCCTGGCAAAATTGTAACTCTTTGTTTGCTCCATTTTTCACCTCCTCCAAATACAAAGAAGAGAATCTGGCACTATTTTAATTTATTGTTCCATTATTGTTCACTGCTGGAGGGTGTAACTGTGAGCTGAAGTCTCCCTAAAATTTCATTTGATTCCCTAGCCAGAAGATGTTCTTAGCCTGTCTTTCTGTTGAGGCTGTCTCATGAAAGCCTTTGTCCTTTTCCTCTCAATCTCTCAATGCCTTTGGTCAGCAGCAGATTCTCCTAGAAATACTAATTTAATATCTCCCAACTTGAAATACCAGCTGAGCTTGTACCAGTGATAGCTCTCAAAGATTTCTTCATCCAGGCTCAGAGCACGTACCTGAGGAAATTACGCCTTCATTAATTGGATGCCAGATTATTTGCACTTTTATTATGATCAATCAGGCATAAAAGTCTTGGGGATGACATTCATGTCATTTAATTTTAGGTGTGTACAGCTTGGAATACCATGTCCATATCTAAACTACTCACATTATAATATCTTTATAGCCAGTGGAGAGAATAGGCACATACCCAGCATGACCTTCCTCACCAGGTTGAAATATCCTTTAAAGGATGCATTGCACCCTGGATGTGCCTAGTTTTATTCAGCAGTTATAGAATGAGATCTGAATTTTCCTGTAGCTAGAGCTGAATGAGCTTAAAAAAAATGGAATACCAAACAGGAACAACAGAACTTTATCTCAAGAATGTTGCAAATGCACCTTCCAGTTCTGACCTCCCAGGCCACTACATTGCTGTTGCTGTGGTCATGAGTGTCTTGTCTCTCTTCACAGTTCTTATAGAGAATTTAAGCAAAAGGAAGAAAGTAATTCAAATGCTGTTTCCAGTTTTCATCCTTTTACTTTTTTGCCGTCTCATGAATACTGGCAGTAGTAAAGTGTAGGTACAAGCAAAATATTCTATTTGTAGATCTATCTGTTAATACTATGTGAAATAATTCTACCATATAGTAGCTTAAGTCTTATTTTTATTACATTGAATTTTGCAGTAATAAAGAAAGGTAAAAGTAGTACCTTTCATTCCTCTTCCATTTTCTCCAGGAGGACATGTCACATCACTGAGGTCTGAATAATCCTCCAAAAGTTAAATGATGAGGATTATGTTCCACCTATGTGATAATTCAGATGTTGATATCATGTTGTGTCTGATTGAAGACTGAGACTGGCTAATGAGCTGCAGTGACAGTCAAGTGTTCTTCCAAATCTTGCTATGGAGTCTAAAAATTCCATCACTCTGCCCTTTGAGATAAATTATTTCCCAGAGCATCCTGAGAAAACACTCAGAATGTGATACATACTTGAGATCATAGTACTGGACTTGCTGACCTGGTGAAATGAAGATTTAAAGGTACAAGTGTTAAATAATTTGTGCAATTAAGGCTTTTATACTCTAGCTGTTTCCACTTTCCAATATCTCAGTCTGAAGGGACAGTCTCAGCATGAGAAAGTGTGCAGGATCTATGTGTGAAGGATGGAAAAAAGTCCCCATTTTTAAGTTTCTATGAAAGTTTCATCACACTGAGTGCTGCAGAGTCCAAGTACACAGATAGATGTTGCAATTTTGGATTGTCTTTTCAATCTCTCTGGCAATTTTTCCATTCAGAAAGATATCCTTGTGAGACAAAGGGAGAATGATTAATTTTCTGAAAGAATCCATTTGTATTGAACACTAGGCTTTTGTTGATTCTTGCAGGACTATGGAATTTGTTCCCAAGAGATATGTAGTACCGTGCAAATAACAGCAGTGTAATGCCACCAGAGTCAAAGATTCCCTAAGTTTGCAGAGCTGGCTCATGCATTGCTCAGGTCTGAAGTAACCTTCCTGACTTGGGCACAGGAGGGAACAGGAATCTCAGGGCACAGTTCATACTTCTAGCTGTGCTCAGAGAAAACATTGCACAAGCAATATCCTGGCTTTAAGACAAAGACAAGATATTACTTGTAACTAACAGCTGCCCACCAGTACAGTTCATTAGAAACTCAGTGAGTTGCTGCAGTGGGTTCTTTATCTTGGTGACCTTCCAAGGCAATCAGAGCCTTCTTGGAAGACCTTGAATCAGAAATATTTAGATATAAGAAAAATAGCACTGTGCAGCACATGCTTCTGATCTCTCAGGGTTCACAGG